TTCTTATAAATTTAATAAAAAATTTTTTAACTAAAAAAAGACATTTTTAGTCACCTGGAATATCTAGAACAAAAATAGTCCATCATTTATTATTTTTTTGGTGGTTTATATTTTGCAGAAATAAGAAAAAAATTTTCAAATACTGCCACTAAGTTTCTTGAGTTTTTTATTTTTAAAGTATAACTTATTTATATATTATAAACTATAAAGTATGATGGTAAGAAAACAGTGTTTTTAAGTCATCCGGAATTCAAGTTTCATCAATCCAAGTTTCATGAAATTCTTTTCTTTTAATTATTGTGGTTAAGTGTATTTGATACCTTGGTTGTACTCGTCTGATTTATTTAATATTCAATTGTTACTATTTTTTGTATGATTTTTATTCCAAGGAAAATTTTTTGGTCATTAAAAAGTTAATGTCAAGATAAAGTATTTCGAAAGATAGTAGAATAACAATGCAAACGATAAGAAGATGCAATAAACAGATACTGATATCCTGATTATGATTTAAATTTTGTTAGTTTCTTAGGCAGTATCATAACGTCATTTAACTACGTTTTTGATAGTTAAATTTCAAAACTAGTATGTAAAATTTGCTCAAAATCATATCAGTGTCCCGAAAGTTCTGACTAGCTCAAAAAAATAGGGTAGTAGTTTTAATGCATGGCAACAAATTGACATTATATTTAACAAATAAAAGTGTCAGTAAGAGCTCCAAAAAGATGGCAAAAATGGCCCAAACATGTTTTTCGCGTCTAGAATAAAACCAAAGAATCGCAATAAAAAAGTTTTGTAAAAAAGATGTGTAATTTTAAGCCAAAAAAATGAGCCACGTTGGATTCAAATCGATTTCTGTCGTCTTTTCACGAATCGCAGAAACCTGCCACTTTAAGTAATTTTTTCGAAACTCAATAACTCGAATTATATACAATCTTTAGAGCTGAAATTTGATCACAAGGTAGATATTATATTTCTTAATAAACACACAAATTGATTGCAAAAAATGTCTTTTTGCTCTCCAGTGGAATCAGTGGCTCGCCGAGCCGACGCGGCACGCCGCTGGAGGCCACGCCCACTTCCCGCATGCATGTTTTAATTGAGTGCTTTTTTTGAAATTAATTTTTAAGATACTTCTAATTGGTAAAAATAAATGACGTTTTAGGTAGTTGTAGACTAAATATAGACGAAGCGAAGTACGTTTGAAAAATGTACCTATATTGGCCTATAACTTTTTTATGGCAATTGTTCGAGAGGACCTTTATTCGGTTGTTGCTGCGGTTTTCGAAAAGTTCAAAACTGATGTAGCTGAACTTTAGTCTGTATGTTAAAAAATATAATACATGCCTTGTAACTCAATTCATGCTGTAAATATTGTACAGAACACGAATTTCTGAGTTTCGAAAAAACGACTCAAAATGGCAGTTCTTTGCGATTTGTGAAAAAACTTTTCGAGCTAGTCAGAATTTTATGGGCCGAAAAACTCATTCTACTATACTAATAGAGTCTGATTAATAGCGTCCGCTTAGTGCACGTTACTGAATGTTATTGAATGTTAATATGAAGAAGAGAAAATAATCAGAAAACAGATTTGTTAAAATTCAAAAACCGCTTTAAAATACTGATAAGATGAAAAAACTACGTTTTATTTATAGATAACAATAAGTACAAAAATTAAAATTTCAAACGATCGTTATTTGAAATGATCAGAAACTTTTCTAAAATACAAATAAAATGTATGAACAGACTGGCTGACTGCGCGAGAGTGAACAAAAACCGAAGCTACTTGATGCTGAAGTGCAGCGTCACAGCGTCTCGTCCTCCCACTGCTGCGCATGCGCAATAATTCAGTTACGAGCGCCAACAATACATCTAACAATTAATTATTTAACATTTTTTGAAGCTCAAATTTATTAACCATATGTGTTTTTCAGAAACCGCTCGCCATCTCATGAATCTCATTTGACCAAAAATCATTTTCTCGTGCGCGTCAACCGCAAACTTACTAAGAGATGCTGCACAACTCGAGGGCGTCAATGTTGACCACATNAGTATTTAATGACTCACAAAGCTGTACTTGAAGCTGCCGTTATAGGAGTTCCTCATGATCTCGAAATTGAGGTCCCTATGGCGTTTATTAAAAGAACTCCTGGATATGAGGTAAGTCTTCAAGAATAGTAGTTTTCTTACCTGGTGGTGCATGTCAGGCAAATATTCGTGGGACTCCTTGTGCTTGTATTGCTTGGATGTGCACTAGGTATGAAGTCTATTTTTTCTACTGAAAATTAAGTAAACGTTCAAAGGTAGCAAAAATAGACCCAATTTGGTAAAATAACTTGAACTAATCGCTTAATATACATTTTTCTTAAAATTACAAAAAATAGGTATCTGAAGAGGAGCTTGTGGATTTTAGCGCTGAGTTGGACGTTCTTAAAAAATTAAGGGGAGGTGTCAAGTTTCTGGATGAACTGCCACACACACCATCTGGAAAGATAGACAAGAAATTGCTTAAGGATTTGGCAGCAGCTTCTTTAAAGTAGTTGACATCTATGTCAACTTGAATAAAAATTGTGGGTATTTCATTAATTAACAGAGAAGTTATAGCATATTACATTGTATGGGCTGCAAAAAAATAAGTTCTAAATAACTTTTTTCACATAATCACAGTGCTTACGTGCATAAGGGCTAGAAATAACTCAAAATAAAATGTTTATTAGTGTATTTGAATCAAGATGTTACAGTACGAATAAAAATTACTTCACGAGTGAGTAAGTAGTATACTACGTGCCAAAGGAGAAAAATATAGCATTTCCTTTAATGTTCCTTTAATGCGTAAGTGGCCTTCCGAGCCCAAGGCGAAGGTGTCAAACACCTGAAAAATGAAGCAGTACTTTTTTCCTGAGGCACGTATACGATTTTATTTCTTCCTGCGCTAAAAAATAACTATCAGTGTATAGGACAGTTCAACCACCCGAGGGCATAATAACTCAAGATGTGCTTATAGGCAAGATTAGCACTTTGCAACCTTGACGAGAAGAACAGGGCTTACAACTAAGATAACTTTTTGTGCAAGTGGTTGAACTTTCCATCCATGGTACAAAATAAGCTATCAGAAACTTTTCATTGTGCTGGTAATGGTTGAATGGATACACTTACATTTGTATCATATGTACTTTTTGACAGAATTTTTCGAATATAATAAAATATGCAGATATTTGAGTAAAAACTAACATTAGGTTTCTTCTTTTGTTAAAATTGGTTGGTTTTATAAATAAAGTTTAGAAAATAATTATCATCTCTTGTGCAAAACAATAAATAAAGTTTTTTCATGAGATTCTATTACCGAACTTTTGTTTTATTTGGAAGCCTTACAAAATAAAAATAAAAAATAAAATCTAAAATGAAGAAGTCTCAGTGCAAACTTCATTGAAGATTTCATTTGCAATAACCTTTTATGAGGTACTGTCATCTTAAATCCGTTTCAAGTTAAACCTTATTATTTCACAAAATTTTTGGTGCACTGCTGTTAGAGAGACATTTGTTTACTATAAACATATAACATATTAAATTTGTTAATAAATTTTGGAGGATTATTGTAGGTCACGTGTGCCATTGCTTATTCTCTGGTACAGTGTGTCATAAATAATACTTTCATTATGAAAGTAACTATGGTATACTTATAAAGTTACATTCATTTTAATTGCTTATGCCCTTATCGATTCTAAGTATGAGTACACTGTAATAGTTAAATTGGAGTCACTTACTTTACGTTGTACAAGTTTGTTGGGGAGTGCATCAGTGTCTGCATGAATTTCAGTGACTCAAATTTCACGGAAAGAGATAAGGAATCAATTAAAATTCCATTACTTATCATTTTCTCATTTAAAGCCTCCAACTCTCAAGTAAAAGGATCATTACTATAGTAGTATAGACTCTAGTGCCTAGTAAGATTGAAGGCACTATATGAAGAACATAGCAGTTAATAGATCAAAATGCTTTTTACACTGTTCATCGCCGTGCTGAGTGCTAGTAGTGGTGAGTCTCTTTATTTTAGTTTTAGTTAATTTTCAAGAAAACTTAACATTTTTCTTATTTCTTTAATATATTACATGATTTCACGTTATATTTTGCGAAAAAATTAACATTTAGTATTACTAATACAATTTACATTGACTTCATAGAAACCTCTATTATTTTTAGCATTTATAACGGTTTCTGGCATGTTCCACACAAAATGTATGTAATAGTATATAAAAGTATGTAAACGTATGTAATTTATTGAAAAAGCATCTTTTAATTATACAAGTGGCTAAAAAATTTATAAATCTTGGACTTTTCACGGAATTATTATGTATGATAAATACAAAAAGATAAATGCAATAAAGAAGATTATCAAATAATTACAAATAAATTACAATAAATAGACACAAAAGNTTTTGCTTTTTTTTTTTTTGTTTTTTTTTAATAAATGAATCGTACTTTGTTAACACTAAAAATTATTTGTGCAAAATGTCATCATGTTCATCAGACAAATGTAATTCAGCATTTTTGTTAATTTGGCACTGTCTACACTTGACCCCTTTTTTATGGGACAGTAATATACATAACTTAATTCTTTTAGTTGTATTTTTCTCCCCCTCGCACAAAACTGGCCTTATCTGGATTAATGTTCAAAATTTGTCTATAAGATTATTGGTGAAGATAGTTTAATAAAACTTTGAATTAAATGTTTCGTGGCCCTTTTTGTATTTTATTTCGACTCGCGTGACATTATTTTTTCATTACAGGGTTAACTGAGTCTTGTGCTACTTCAACGATAACGACGAATTCTTGCACGAGAGAAAACTCCGTTGGCTTAATCGTTTCAAACTCACAAATTAAAATAATCGATTTAGAGAGCGGCCAGGCTCTCGGCCCAAACGAATCCGGCGAAATTTGCTTCAAAACGGCTAAAGCCATGCTCGGTTATTACCGCAATCCAAAGGCGACCCAAGAGATGATAGACAACGAAGGTGAGAAGCTTCACTAAAAAACAATTTCTTCAATCCAAATAAAAGATTGTTTCAATGCAAACAAAAAATATTCATCAGAATAAAATAAATATTTATATTAATTAAATAATAATCTTTGAAATCTTTATAACGTAATACTTAATAGATTTACCTTAATGTGTACTTTAAATACTCGTTGTTTATAATAAAACAAACGTTTATTTGGATTGACGAAATTTTTTTTCAGTGTGCGTTGCAGTACTTATTCACGATTGAAGGCTTATGTGACACATGAAATAAAACTAAACTAGGATGGTACCACACAGGTGACATTGGATATTATATGGAGAACGGCGAGATTATGATAGTCGATAAAAAAAAAGAAATGATGNTTATGATGGTCGATAGAAAAAAAGAAATAATGAAATATCGGGGACATCAAATATCACCCTCAGAAATCGAGGAGTATTTAATGACTCACAAAGCTGTACTTGAAGCTGCCGTTATAGGAGTTCCTCATGATCTCGAAATTGAGGTCCCTATGGCGTTTATTAAAAGAACTCCTGGATATGAGGTAAGTCTTCAAGAATAGTAGTTTTCTTACCTGGTGGTGCATGTCAGGCAAATATTCGTGGGACTCCTTGTGCTTGTATTGCTTGGATGTGCACTAGGTATGAAGTCTATTTTTTCTACTGAAAATTAAGTAAACGTTCAAAGGTAGCAAAAATAGACCCAATTTGGTAAAATAACTTGAACTAATCGCTTAATATACATTTTTCTTAAAATTACAAAAAATAGGTATCTGAAGAGGAGCTTGTGGATTTTAGCGCTGAGTTGGACGTTCTTAAAAAATTAAGGGGAGGTGTCAAGTTTCTGGATGAACTGCCACACACACCATCTGGAAAGATAGACAAGAAATTGCTTAAGGATTTGGCAGCAGCTTCTTTAAAGTAGTTGACATCTATGTCAACTTGAATAAAAATTGTGGGTATTTCATTAATTAACAGAGAAGTTATAGCATATTACATTGTATGGGCTGCAAAAAAATAAGTTCTAAATAACTTTTTTCACATAATCACAGTGCTTACGTGCATAAGGGCTAGAAATAACTCAAAATAAAATGTTTATTAGTGTATTTGAATCAAGATGTTACAGTACGAATAAAAATTACTTCACGAGTGAGTAAGTAGTATACTACGTGCCAAAGGAGAAAAATATAGCATTTCCTTTAATGTTCCTTTAATGCGTAAGTGGCCTTCCGAGCCCAAGGCGAAGGTGTCAAACACCTGAAAAATGAAGCAGTACTTTTTTCCTGAGGCACGTATACGATTTTATTTCTTCCTGCGCTAAAAAATAACTATCAGTGTATAGGACAGTTCAACCACCCGAGGGCATAATAACTCAAGATGTGCTTATAGGCAAGATTAGCACTTTGCAACCTTGACGAGAAGAACAGGGCTTACAACTAAGATAACTTTTTGTGCAAGTGGTTGAACTTTCCATCCATGGTACAAAATAAGCTATCAGAAACTTTTCATTGTGCTGGTAATGGTTGAATGGATACACTTACATTTGTATCATATGTACTTTTTGACAGAATTTTTCGAATATAATAAAATATGCAGATATTTGAGTAAAAACTAACATTAGGTTTCTTCTTTTGTTAAAATTGGTTGGTTTTATAAATAAAGTTTAGAAAATAATTATCATCTCTTGTGCAAAACAATAAATAAAGTTTTTTCATGAGATTCTATTACCGAACTTTTGTTTTATTTGGAAGCCTTACAAAATAAAAATAAAAAATAAAATCTAAAATGAAGAAGTCTCAGTGCAAACTTCATTGAAGATTTCATTTGCAATAACCTTTTATGAGGTACTGTCATCTTAAATCCGTTTCAAGTTAAACCTTATTATTTCACAAAATTTTTGGTGCACTGCTGTTAGAGAGACATTTGTTTACTATAAACATATAACATATTAAATTTGTTAATAAATTTTGGAGGATTATTGTAGGTCACGTGTGCCATTGCTTATTCTCTGGTACAGTGTGTCATAAATAATACTTTCATTATGAAAGTAACTATGGTATACTTATAAAGTTACATTCATTTTAATTGCTTATGCCCTTATCGATTCTAAGTATGAGTACACTGTAATAGTTAAATTGGAGTCACTTACTTTACGTTGTACAAGTTTGTTGGGGAGTGCATCAGTGTCTGCATGAATTTCAGTGACTCAAATTTCACGGAAAGAGATAAGGAATCAATTAAAATTCCATTACTTATCATTTTCTCATTTAAAGCCTCCAACTCTCAAGTAAAAGGATCATTACTATAGTAGTATAGACTCTAGTGCCTAGTAAGATTGAAGGCACTATATGAAGAACATAGCAGTTAATAGATCAAAATGCTTTTTACACTGTTCATCGCCGTGCTGAGTGCTAGTAGTGGTGAGTCTCTTTATTTTAGTTTTAGTTACTAATTTTATTAGACTTCTCGTTTAAAAGCTGCTAGATATACCTATCATATATGCCACATAATTTCATTACTTCTTACTAACACTTGGGTAATCAGATTGTCTCTTTAGCATCTTTATATCTTTAAAACCATCTCGTACTATTATTTTCACGATTCCTTTTTCTTGTTGCTGTCCAGTTAAAAATAATAGAACTGTTATAATTATTGCATGTCTTAAGACATGCTTAAGTCCACGCCGCTTTTTTATTTATATATTCAACGTGTCGTGGTGCAAATGTAAGCAACATAACGTATTTCATTACTTATCGGTATATTTTTTTAATATCTTTTGTCGAAATCGCAGCTGAATAACATTACATCTTTAATTCTGAGTGTTCGCCTAATTACTGATGCAAAAGATGTACTAAATTATGACTATGAAAAAAAGTACAGGCTTCCTACAAAGTTGTAAATTTTACTTCAACAAATGAATTTGTATTCTGTTTTCCTAATAGCCACTAGGTACGTTGATACATGCTCGATTGGCAAATTAATATTGCTTTAATGACAAGAACCTTCAAACAATATCTGAGTCATTTTAGGCTTCTATCATTGCTCCATTAACTTCTTGTGAAAATAATAATCAGTAGTACGTGTAAGACTTTCTGTGTTTAGGAATCATTGTTGGTTTATTGCTTATGCACACTTTATGTTAGTATTAAAATAATGTTTATAATTGACTTTTATAAAATTTAAAAATAAAATATATTAGTACAGAGAAAACAAATTATCATGCTTCCCC